AATGCAAATGGTAGTTATCAGGATGCTAAGTCCCCCACCCCAGCCCTGTCCCCCAACCTCAGTGCCTCATTTAGTGCCTGTCGCCTGTGAGGGAGAAATTTTCTTGAACGCCTACTGTGTGCCAAGCATGTCTAGGTTCTGGGGATACATCGGGGTGGGGATGGGGGAAGAAGTGGTCCCTGCCTTTAGGGCCTCCTGAGCTGGAGGCGGAGCAGGCATGAAACCCATCTTCCCATATGCCTCTCCACCCCACACCCATCACCAATTTTTGGAGCATCCATTAGGTGCCTGTTCCCAGGCCAAACACACCTTGGTGGTCATCTGATCCATGTCTTTTATTTATTTATTTATTTTTGGGGTTGCGCTCTGTGGCATGTGGGATCTTTAGTTCCCCGACCCGGGATTGAACCCGTGCCCCCTGCAGTGGAATTGTGGAGTCTTAACCACGGGACCGCCAGGGAAATCCTTATCCATGTCTTAAAACAACTGTTCCTGGTAAGTTTGACCGTGCCCATTTTATAGGTGAGAAAACTGAGGCTCAGAGACGGTAACACGCCTGGAACATCTGAGGTCACCATGGGAAGCCATGGGCTGTAGGCGGATAAATTTGACCACCTGCAGACAGGTGTGGTTGTGCACCTCCCTTCATTTAAAGAAAAAAGAAGGTCCTGGTTGAGGTCCACATTCCTACTCCCACTTGGGGGCCCATTCGTTCCGTTTTCTGCTTTTGCACACATTTACACGCATCCATGAATGTGATATTTGGTATCCTTTGGTCTGGCTTTGCTTTTTATTCAAATTGGCCAGAAGTCAGCAAACTTTTTTCTGTAAAGGACCAGCTAGTAAAATATTGTCGGTCTTAGGCACCATAGTGTTTTTATTACAGCTACCTATGCTGCCGCTGTAGCCCCAAAGCAGTCACAGGTGATACCTCAGTAAATGGGTGTCAGCTGTGTGTCAATAAAACTTTATTTACAAATCCAGGTGGCAGGGACTTCCCTCGTGGCGCAGTGGTTAAGAATCCTCCCGCCAATGCAGGTTTGATCCCTAGGGATCCCACATGCTGTGGAACAACTACGCTGGTGCGCCACACACAACTACTGAAACCCGCGCGCCTAGAGCCTGTGCTCCGAAACAAGAGACGCCACCGCAATGAGACGCCTGCACGCCGCAACGAAGAGTAGCCCCTGCTCTAGAGGAAGCTGGCGCACAGCAACAAAGACCCAAGGCAGCCAAAAAAAACAACCAGGCCGCAGGCCAGACAGTGGCCGTGGTTTGCTGATTTGCTGACCCTGGATATAGACGGTATCAATTCTTAGCTTTATTCTGTCGGACATGTCGCCAACATTTTTCTGAGCCGATATATGTAGCCCAAACTTGTTCTTTTTCTTGGCTGTGCCCCGCGGCTTGCGGGATCCTAGTTCCCTGACCGGGGATCGAACCCGTGCCCCCTGCATTGGAAGCATGGAGTCCTAACCACTGGACCTCCAGGGAAGTCCCCCAACGTCGTTCTTTTTAAGTGTATTATGGTCTCACTAAGCATTGCCATATCACAGTTTGTTGAGTCCCCTGTCATTGGACATGCTGGTTCCTGCCACTCTTCCCCCCCAGGAAGGCATTAACACCTTATAAGTTGGTGGTTATGAACAGTGCGGGGATGGGGTGAGGGGGAGGGTAGTCTGAGTTCAAATCCTTATTCTGGCACTTGCCATGAGGTGGGGCCACAGGGGGGACCGCTGAACCCTGCCTCAGTTTCCCTCTCTTGTAACACAGCGATCATTACAGCACCTGCCTCTTGGGGCTGATAAAAAGGATTAGGTGATGGGACTTCCCTGGCGGTGCAGTGGTTAAGACTCTGTGCTTCCACTGCAGGGGGCACGGGTCCGGGAACTAAGATCCTGCATGCCTTGGGGCCAAAAAAAAAAAAAGGATTATGTGACTCCGTTGACAGGGTTTCTCTAGGGTGGCTGAAGAGAAAGGGAACTTCTAGGACTTATCAGACGTGGAGTACTTTCTCACTCTTACTAAACACTGCCCGATTTTGTCCAAAACAGTGTCCCTCTTTGCACTCCCCCCGGAAGCGAACAAAAGGGCTCATTTCCCCCACCGCCACCTCATGCTACTTTCTCTGTCTTAATTTGTGTTGACGTGTAATTCATAGGCACCAAAGTCTATAAAGCTTAAATGGACAGACAGCTCAGTGGTTTTTTGGGGTATGTACACACTCCCTGTAGCCAACTCCCTGATTGAGATATAGAGGTCATTTCCATCCCCTAGAAGTCCCCAAGGGCCCCTTCTACATCCCTACCCACTGGGAAACCACCCTTCTGGTTTCTCATCATAGTTTAGGTTTTTATTTTTTTTATTAATTGAATTATTTATTTATTTTTGCTGCATTGGGTCTTCGTTGCTGTGCGTAGGCTTTCTCTAGTTGCGGCGAGCAGGGGCTACTCTCTTGCGTCTCAGTGCAAGCGGTTCTCGTTGCGGTGGCTTCTCTTGTTGCGGAGCACGGGCTCTAGGCCAGGGGGCTTCAGTAGTTGTGGCGCATGGGCTCAGTTGCTCCGCAGCATGGGGGATCTTCCCGGACCAGGGCTTGAACCCATGTCCCCTGCCACATTGGCAGGCAGATTCTTAACTACTGCAGCACCAGGGAAGTCCCATAGTTTAGTTTTGTTCATCAAAAGAGAATCAGCGTGCGGATGCTTTTGTGTCTGCCTCCTCTCACTCAGCATCACGCTTGTGAGTTTCAGCCACATTGTTGTGAATATCAGTAATTTACCCTTGTTCACATCTTCTATGGACTGGGAGAAATATTTAAGTCTAAGCAGTAAGATGTAACAGGAAGAAGTCCTGTACAGTGGTCTCAAAACAGGTTGGTAAGCTATTCCTATAAAGGGTTAGATAGTAAATATTTTCAGCTTTGCGGGATACAGGAGGTCTCTGTTGTGCATCTTTGTTTGCTTTAAAACCCTCTTAGCTTGTTAGCCATGCCAACAAACAAACAAACAACTCCTTGGGTACTTTTGGCCCTCAGGCTATAGTTTGCAGACTTTTAGTCTAAATCATTTTACCACAGTGCCTGACATACAGCAAGTATTTATCACTAAGTGTCCACAGGCAGGTTTTCTGTGGCACCTAATTTTGAATTTGTCATTGCATGTTCTTTTTCATACTATTCCCCCAAATGTTTAACCTTTTGTTTGTTTTTTTTTGAGATGTAATTGACATACAACACAGCATTTGTCTTAGGTGTACAACATAACGATTTGATATATGTATTCAGTATATACTGTGAAATGACCACAATAAGTCTAGTTAACATCCATCACCTCACATAGTCACAAATATTTCTTTTCTTGAAATGAGAACTTTTAAGACCTACCCTCTTAGCAACTTTCAAATACACAATGCAGGGACTTCCCTGGTGGCGCAGTGGTTAAGAATCCGCCTGCCAATGCAGGGGACACAGGTTCGAGCCCTGGTTTGGGAAGATTCCCACATGCCGCAGAGCAACTAAGCCTGTGCACCACAACTACTGAGCCTGAGCTCTAGAGCCCGCGAGCCACAACTACTGAGCCCGCCTGCTGTGACTACTGAAGCCTGCATGCCTAGAGCCCCATGCTCCACAATGAGAAGCCACCGCAATGAGAAGCGCGAGCACCGCAAGGAAGAGTAGCCCCCGTTCGCCACAACTAGAGAAAGCCTGCACTCATCAACGAAGACCCAACATGGCCAAAAATAAATAAATAAATGTTTATTAAAAAAAAAATTTAGCAAATACACAATGCAAGACTGTTAACTGCAGTCACCAAGCTGTACTTTATAACCCCAGACTCGTTCATCTTTTTCTAAAAAATTATTATATATTTTTTGGCTGCACCAGGTCTTAGTCACAGCACGCGGACTTGTTAGTTGTGGCATGTGAACTCTTAGTTGCGGTATGCATGTGGGATCTTAGTTCCCGACCAGGGATCGAACTTGCGCCCCCTGCACTGGAAGCATGGAGTCTTAACCACTGGACCGCCAGGGAAGTCCCCCAGCCTCCCTCTTAAAAGGACCCTTGTGATGATGTTTAGGGTCCACCCGGATAATCCAGGAACATCTCCCTGTCTCCAGATCCTTAACTGAATCCCATCTGCAAAATCTCCTTTGCCACGTGAGGGAATGTAGTCACAGGGCCCAGGGATCAGGTCGTGGACATCTTTGGGGGTCGGCCTGCCACACGGTTCCCCAACATGGCCGGGGAGGCCCAGGACAGGAAAAGCAGCAGGCTTCTCGCTTCTGCTGGCTGAACAGAACACGACACAGCGGCTAAGACTCTGGTACGTGGGCGGGGGGAGATGAAAGACCCCCACAACCTGGTTCTCTCCAAGCCAAGCAAGCGTGGTGAGTGCATCTCTGACAACCCAGACAGGCCTTGTCCGAGGCACTGGGCACAGACCTTCAGGTCCGGCCCTGTCCCGTTCACGCCCTTGGGAGCAAAGCAAAGAAAGGGCCGAGAAGGTCACACAGAGACCCCAGAGTTGTTTAGCTGCTGAAAAATAAACACACACACACAACCTGGACGTAGCTGCAGGTAAAATTTATTAAGGCAACACTGAAGCCCCACCAGGAAGGCCTCAGCCCCCTTCAGCTCTAGAATGAGTATCAGTTGCTCTGCCCCTACCCCATCCCCAGGAGGCCCACTTCACAGAAGTTCAAGTCCCTTAGCTCAAGGCTGATATCCAGGAGCCTTGATGTAGAAAAAGGAGTGGATGTAAGAGCTATATTCCTGGTTTTGGAGGAAGAAAAAAAAAAAGTTTTGGAACCTTCTAGAAAACAAATTTTTTTTTTTCTGGAAATCTCGTCCTAATGACCGCTGTGATGCTCAGGACATGCTTCCTCCAAGCTCAAACAGGGTGAGGGACTGGTTGGTTCTGAGGACCTCAGTTTCCCAAGGTGGCAGCTGAGGTGAGCTGGAAGAGTTAGAGACGTGTGTTCCCAGTGAGGGGTCCCGGGCCCTAGGAGCCTCCCTCCTGCTTCTGTTTCTTCTCTTCTGGGGCCTTCTCGGTGATTCCGGGGGCGAAGGGTCCCACCAGCCACGTGATGGGCGTGTTCTGGGCCACATACTCCACCACGTGGTCGAGGGCCTCTCGGGCCCTGGCCACCTGCCCGCGGCTCTGCGTCAGGATGCTGCTGGACAGGTCCTTGAAGGAGTGGATGCCAGAGAAGGTGGCTTGGAGGTCCTCCACCTGGCGGCGAGCCTGCAGCGCCTGGTCCTTGATGTGGGCGGGCAGCCCCTGGAGGCTGGAGCCCAGCGAGGCGCAGGTGGTCTGCAGCTGCTGGGCGATGTCACGGAACATGGTGAGTGTCTGGGACTCAACCTGCTGAGAAGGGGTGGAGGGTGACCATCAGGGCCCTCTGAGTTGGAGGGTAACTGGACCCAAAGCCCGGGAAAGAGAAGATGGGGGTTCTACCGCCCACCTTGGGGAAAACCTTCCCCCAGGAGAGGATGTCGAGCACAGGTGGTCCAGAATACGGGCTCTTTGGGGCTTCCCTGGTGGCACAGTGGTTGAGAGTCCGCCTGCCGATGCAGGGGACACGGGTTCGTGCCCTGGGCCGGGAAGA